GGACCTGCAGTTTCTCTCTGTCAGAGCTGTGACACTTTGGACTGTGAGCAACAGAAACTGAATTTTTGCTTTCTCAAAAAAGGAAGTTTGTAATTGGGTTTATCCTGGGGCGTCCTGTGAAGCCGCACCGTGTCCCTGCCTGTAGATGCAGACCTGGAGGGCTGGCAGTATTCAGGCTCTGGGAGGAGACAGTGAGTCACCCTAGTCTCTGTCCCTGCACCCAGCTGCCTGCCATCAACCCATCACGCCACCTCCTGGAGAGAGGCAGTTTCTCTGTGTCAGGCTCAGTTGGGTTTTTTAATATCAGAGGGAGACTTTTTTTTATGCGTGACAACAAATCTTGACAGCTGCTTGGTTTTAATTGCTCTTCAACTTAGAGCATACGTTTCATTATCTTTTTCTTCGTTTTGGCACAACATAAATCTCGTGGGTCCATGTGTACTTCCAGAACTCTTGTTTTAATTAAATTGCTCCCCTTTGCTGAGCCTGCGGTATGAGGAGCTTGTCCAGAACAACCACCTTCACACCTGGAGGGAGGGTGGTTGGCAGACCTCTCAGGGAAGGTGACCAGGGGAGCTCTGGGGCCTTTGGGAGGGAGTGTGGGGCTGTCATGGATGAAGAATTCATGTGTTGAAGGGACTTCCCTGGAGGTCCAGTGGTTAAGACTCCAAGCTTCCACTGAAGGGGCATGGGTTCGACTCCTGGTTGGGGAACTAAGATCCGCCGCACAGCACAGCCAAAAAAAGAAAAGGAGAAAAAACTGTCTTCCATTAGAATAATTACTTGGGACTTCCCTGGTGGTCCAGTGGTTAAGAATCTGCCTTCCAATGCAGGCAACGCAGGTTCGCTGCCTGGTCGGAGAACTAAGGTCCCATGTGCCGAGGAGCAACTAAGCCTGAGTGCTGCAACTGAGACCTGATGCAGCCAAGTAAATAAATAAATATTTTAAAAATAATAATAATTATTATTAAAAAAAACTCACACGTTGAAGTCCTAGCTCCTAGTGGGGCTGTGTTTAGAGAGGGGGACCTCTAAGGAAGAAAAAAGTTAAATGAGGTCAGAAGGGTGGAGTCCTGATCCCGTAGGATTGTTTGAAGAGACACAGGGTTCATCTCCCTAGAGAGAGGGAGAGCTGCTCCCAAACCCAAAGAGGCCACGGGAGTCCCCAGGCAGAAGGCCCTCTGCCATTCCGGGGAGGACCCTCCCCAGACACCTCCCCTGCCGGCACCTTGATCCTCCCTTCCAGGGTCCAGAACTTCGAGAAATAAGGGGCTTGTCGTCGAAGCCCCTGGGTGCATGTATGGCATTTTGTTAGGGCAGCCCCAGCAACTGACAGGAACCTCAGGTCAACCTCAGATCAACGGGATGTGATGCAAGTTACACCTGGCTCACGCCTGCGGGGCTTCAGGGAGCCCTGGTGAGAGTGGGGGAGAGGAGAGAGGGATCCAGGGTGGTCTCAGTGGGGGCAGGGAGAAAATTCAGGATTCAGGATAAACAGAGAGGGAGCCAAGAGATTTTCCTGATGATCTGGTGAGGTTTGCTTTGGCCTAAAAACTGGCATGACCAGTTAAATAAATTAAGGTGCAGCCATAAGACAGAATAGCAAGTTACCTATTTATTGAAAAAGAAAGAAAAGAAAAAAAGAAAAAGAAAAGAATGAGGAAGCTGTCTATGTACTGATTAGGAAAGCTCTCCAAGAAATATTAAGTGAAACAGACAGAAATACATTTCATATGCTGCCATTTGGATTCAGGGGAGAGAGATTCCATATCCATATTAATAATGACAGTCACCTTGTCTGGTATTTCATGGAAATGGCTGCTGTATATTTTTATAAGCGGATTGTTTCTTCAAAAGAAAAAGTAATGGCATCTCACTTAATGCTCAGATAGCTCATGGCTTTCACAGGTACCTGCCCGTCAACTTTTCAACACAGTTTACAAAACATGATGACATTCTTAAAAGACATTTCAAGTTAGGGCTTCCCTGGTGGTTCAGTGATTAAGAATCTGCCTCGCTCTTTCCCTTTGGCACCCCTTTAAGACCCTAGTCTCACCATGGTTGCTGCCCCACAGTGTTACCCGTATTGTCAGAACAAACTGAACCCAAAGTCTGACTTCTGCCAAGGTGTCCCTGATGCTAAGATCTGCATCTTTGGCCTGGAGCGGAAGAAAGCAAAAGCGGATGGGTTCCCACTGTGTGGCCACACGGTGTCAGACAAGTGTGAGCAACTCTCCTCCAAAGCCCTGGAGGCGGCCCGAGTTTGTGTCAACAAGTCCATGGTGAAAAACAGTGGCAAAGATGGTTTTCACATCCGAGTGGGGCTTCACCCCTTCCATGTCATCCACATCAACAAGATGTGTCCATCCTCACCAAGCTGCAGAACAAGGAGCATTGACTGAGGCCCTGCGCAGGGCCAAGTTCAAGTTCCCTGGCCACCAGAAGTGGGAATTTGCCAAGTTTAATTTAGATAAATTTGAAAACATGGAAGCAGAGTAACAGTTCATGCCAGATGGCTGTGGGATCAAAGACATCCCTAATAGTGTTCCCTTGGACAAATGGTGGGCCCTGCAGCCATGAGAGGCATGGCACTGTCTTTTCTTTACTCATGTCCACTAATAAATCCTACTTTCGTGTCAAAGCAAACAAACAAAAAAGAATCAGCCTTGCAATTCAGGGGACACTGGTTCGATCCCTGGTCCTGAACCATCCCACATGCCACGACGCAACTAAGCCCAAGGGCCAGAACTACTGAGGCCACACACTGAGATTGCTGAAGCCTTTGCTCCTAGAGCCTGTGGTCTGCAGCAAGAGAAGCCCATGGCAAGGGCCCATGCACCACAGTGAAGGGCCTAGAGATCCCTGCCGCATCTGGAGAAAGCCTGTGTGCAGCAGTGAAGACCCAGCACAGCCAGAAATAAAATAAAAAATATTTTTAAAAATACATTTCAAATTTTTTAAAAGGCAAAAAAAAATACATTTCAAATTATTATCATAAATGCAATGCCAAATAAATAAAAAGAAATATTAAAAAACATATCACTAAAAAATAACATAAAAATAAAAGCTTTATTGTCTTTGCTCTCATATTTAAAGCTGTAGTCCATCTGGAACTGATCTGATGTGGTATGAGATAGGGATCAAAAAACTTTTTTCCCATTCAATTGACCCAACACTGTGTATTGAAATATTTATTCATTGCATATCTTGTGGGATCTTAGTTGCGGACTAGGGATTGAACTCGAGCTGTCGGCAGTGAAACCATGGAGTCCTAACCATTGGACTGCTGGGAAATTCCCTACACAGTTTTCTTTTAAGTGGTTTTGATGTACCAGGTTCTGTTGTACAGAGGTGGGCAAAGCAAAGCCCTTGTTGTCACAGAGCTTATGGTCTAGTGAGGGTGACAGTAAATAAAAATACATATGAAGGATGGATGAATGCTGAGGTCAAAAATAAAGGAGAGAAAGGGGATATACCATAATGTATTTGGCCAGTTTTCTGTTGTAGGTCCCTTGGGCTGTGTCTAAAATGTTTGCTGTCATAAATAGCATTACTGTGAGCATCTTTAAAGCAAGTCTTTAAAAATACTTCTGATTATTTCCTTATAATAATGGATGGACAAGGTCTTATGCACCAAGGAATATGATTTTCTTGGGCTTTGCTACATATTTCCAAGTTGCCCCACAGGAAGAACTTAACCAGTTTACACTCCCCGGTGCCCAGTGGTGGTGGGAGCTGAGCAGCCTGGGTTTCAGTGATGGAAGTGGGGCCTTTGGGGGACATTGAAAGTCTGTGAACGTAGAGAGTCCCTTCCTCTTCCTGAAAGTGGGGTCCAGCTGGCTGCTTGCCTCACAAAAGCCAATAAAGAGGTCAGATTGGTGGAAGTGAAAATTTGCTTTATTTTGAATGCCAGTAACTCAGCAGGCGAGGGCGAGGCAGACACCTGGTCAAATGCTGACTTGCCCCCTGAGCTGTTATAGACAGAGGGAGGGAGCTACAGGCAGAAGCAGCACAGTCAGCTCTGACAATCATCTTGAAATTGGTCACCAGTGGTCTGACCAGCATCGTCTTGATTGTTTTAGGTATAGTTAATCTTCAGTTTCACAGTCGGTTTGTTTCCATTTCTCTGAGGCCAGTTCTCAGAATTGTGGCAGATTGCATCCTGGCTATAGTCTAGTCATCCTGTAGTTAACTTTTTCCATGTGGTGGGGGCTTTATCTATAAAACAGCTCACAGGATATAGCTCAGAATATAATCTATAGCCCTTGAGAAGGAACTAAAAGTCCTTGCCTATGTTTTATGACATTATTATTATTATTTGGTCTCCTTTGACTGTTTTCCTTTGTTTCTGCATTTTCTCACTTCTCTGATTAAACTTATTCTTTGGCTAATGTTCCACAGGTAAAAGGCAGGCAGATGTCAGGGGGACAAGGACCATAGGGTCCTGCTCTGTTTCACTCCCACCTCTATGCCTTTGCCTTTGATATTTAATTTATTTACAGCCCCTTTCCTCCTTTCTCTCAAGCCCAGTCCTAAGCCAATTTTCACATCACTCTGACCTCTGCCATCATGGCACTCAATTATATATTCATAGTGTTTTATAATCTATTTGTTTCAAGTGATTTTATATCTTAGTTTCTAGAAGAGTATTTTTTCAAATACTTGGAAAAGTTTATACTTCTGGAGCCTGTAGCCAAGGGTAGCACACAGAATAAACATGTAATACAGTGGAGGTAGAAATGGTGCGGTCAAGTGCCAGCTCACCAGAGACAGACATCAGAGATAGTACTGCCTCCACTCAGATGGGCCAATCTGATGTCTTTTTAACTATGCATCTGAGAGAGTGCTTCAGACCCCGGGCCCAATTACCATGTGAACTTGGGGAAGCCCTGACGGCTGAAGCTAGCTGGTTGACCCTAAAGGGCTTTCAGCAAAATAATAATAGAAAGTGTGGCTGCCTGAAGTTGTACTGACAGCGACTTGTCTGTTTCTGGAGACAGTCACCAAGAGGGCCCAGGCCACCGGGAGGAGCCTGCTTGATGTCCCCTATGGAGAGGGCGAAGGAGAGAAATTGGACATCTACCTTCCCGAGGCCGTATCTGAAGGTAACTGGGGGCTGGTGGTTGCCCTTGGATCTCTTCTGGGAGCCCTGCCTCGGCCCACACGCCCTTTGTTTTGTCCTACAGCCATGCCTTTCCTGGTGTTTTTTCATGGAGGATACTGGCAGAGCGGAAGGTGAGTCAGGGAATGTGGATGAATGGAGAAAAGGGGAGAGTCATCTTTGCCTGACCTCTTCCTTTCCTGGGACCGCTGCAACAACTTACTATAACCATGGGGGCTTCCTACAACAGAAATGTCTTCTCTCACAGTTCTGGAAGCCAGAAGTCTGAAATCAAGGTGTGAGCAGGCCCGCGCTCCCTCTGAAGGCTCCAGCTTCTGGGGGCTCCGTGCTTTTCTCACCTTGTGGCTGCATCACTTTAAACTCAGTTTTCATCTTCACGTGGTCTTTGTGTGTCTGCATCTCCCTCCTTCCTCTCATTTCTGTTACAACATCACCAGTTATTGGCTTTGGACTCATCCTAAATCCAGGATGATCCCATCTCAAGAGTCTGAATTATGTCTGCATAGTGTGTGTGCTCGGTCACTGCAGTCATATCTGATTCTTTGTGACCCTATGAACTGTAGCCCACCAGGCTCCTCTGTCCATGGGGTTCTCCAGGCAAGAATACTAGAGGGGGATGCCATGCCCTTCCCCAGGGGATCTTCCTGACCAGGGATTGAACCCGCATCTCCTGAGTCTCCTGCATTGCAGGTGGAGTCTTTACCCGCTGAACCACCTGGGAAGCCCATATCTGCATAGACCCTATTGCAAATAAGGTCACGTTTACAGGTACCAGGGTTTAGGATTTGGACATGTCTTTTGAGGAAGGACACTGTTGAACCCACTATATTCAGTGAAAAGCATGTTCAGTCTACTCTCCAATCATGGAAAACCACAGTGACTAACCATCCCATTTTGCTCAGAACTGAGTGGTTTCCCAGGGCTTGGGGCCTTTAGCGGTAAAAAAAAGAGGGAGTCCCAGGCAAACTGGATTGGCCCCAGTGGGTACCCTAAGATAAGCAGAGAGGTATTTGGGACCTTCATGGACACTGTTGTTCCCTAGGATCATACTAAGGAGTTGCTTGTTATAGGATCTACTGCCCTTCAACCATAGTATTTTAACGCTCCATTTATTGCATTTTTACCCTTTGCCTTGTGAAGCTCCCTGCATGTCTCATCTCCTTCATTTCTCAAAAACAGCATCCTAAGAGAAAGAACATAATTATCTCTATTTTACAGAGGAAGAAACTGGGCTTAGAGGTTAAATACAGTCTCTAGGGTGCCACAGCTAGCATGTGTTGTGGTAAGGACAGAGCCTCACTTCTCCCCTTACCGCACTGGGTCAGAGAGGGGCAGGGCTCTGGGTGGACCAGACGCCGAAGCAGTCTAGTGGCCAAGTGGCCTCCAGTTGTTATGTCTTTGTCTCCTTCTGCAGTAAAGACACGTCAGCCTTCATGGTCAGCCCACTGACAGCACAGGGAGTGGCCGTGGTGATAGTGGCTTATGACATTGCTCCCAAAGGTAACGAGGGTGGTCTTGCAGGTACAAGGGCCGTTGGGATTTGGAGGGGAGAGAGCCCCTGACGGAGCCTGACACAGCTCCTGTCCTCTGCACAGGCACCCTGGACCAGATGGTCGACCAGGTGACCCAGAGCATCGTGTTTGTCCAGAAGCGGTATCCAGGCAACCAGTGGGTATCACTGCAAATTTTCCTTTTGTCAGACTGGGTGGGAGGACAGTGGATTCATCTCCTTGGATGCAGCCCAGCCATTCCCCCTGGCTTTGGAGCAGAAGGCAAATGGGGACCCCTCAATACTGGCCTGTTGTTTTGGTTACACTGAAGGCAAACTCTGCTCTCCACTCTGACCCACTGAAGGGGAATTTACCTGTGTGGACACTCTGCTGGGGCCCAGCTCGCTGCCATGATGCTCCTGGCCAACTGGATCAAGCATGGAGTCACGCCCAACCTCAAAGGTTTCCATGGGGAATGAGTCTGACTGGGCAGGCTTCACCCTACCCTGATGGGCCTGGGGGTCTATACCAGTTGCTTGAAATGTCAACAGCTGTGAGCCGCTTGACCTGGGGGCTTTGGGCCTGGGGAGCAGGGCCTGCTTTGCTGCTTCTCTGCCCTTTCCCTTGTCTTGCCCCTCTGGCCCCGGAGGCAGGTTGGCCCCATATTGCCCCATCCGGTGCTTACAAGAGGCCCAGCCTGGGTGGGGCGTTGGCCCCACCTGCAGCCTGGCTCAGTGACCGTTCTTTGCCTTCACAGGCTTCTTCCTGCTGAGCGGGGTTTACGACCTGGAGCCCATCATGCACACCTCTGAGAATGCTCCCCTCCTCCCGACCCTGTAAGTCACTTGTCCCCTCATCCCCCTCAGCTGGCTTGCAGCCAGTGAGGAGGGCCAGGGCTGCAGCAGAGGCTTTCCTCTGTCCTGACCACACCTCCCCCCACACCAGGGAGGATGCTCAGAGGAACAGCCCGCTGTGGCAACTGGAGACGGCCCCCACCCAGCCCGCGGATCCAGCCTGCCGCATCCTGGTGACTGTCGGCCAGCACGACAGCCCAGAATTCTGCCGACAGTCCAGGGAGTTTCATCAGGTGCCCCAGGCGCCCCTCTTGGCTCAAGGTTGAGGGTCGTGCAAACTTACTATCGTTGTTTATTTCATCGAAACGGACCCTGTGATAGCAGTCATTTCTTCAATAAATACTTAGTGAGCACCTGATACATGCCAGGCAGGTGCGAGAGCCCTTCTCCACCTCCACCCGCCCTCCCTCAACGAACCTCATGTTTGCTTTCCCTCATTTCTCTTACACAGACATTGTGCCGAGGAGGGTGGAAAGCCTCCTTTGCAGAGCTCCATGATGTGGACCACTTTGAAATCCTCTGGAATCTAACCCAGGAGGACTATGTGCTCACTCAGGTAGTGTGCATCCCTTCACTGTGGACAGAATGCATCTTGGCATAGCGCCTACACGTGAGGCGAGGTGGGCAGACAGAGGGTACAGAGGGCCCCCTCGCTGGCTCCGTGGCATCCTGGCATCCAGGGCACCTGATGATAAGGATCGAGGGCCACTCTTGCTTCCTGAACTTCACCTCCCTCTGAAACAGCCCCAGGTGATCTGCAGAGGCTGGTCCTGGGCGCACCAGTGGGATCTGCATGGGGGCAGGCGGGTATGAGAAAGTATTAGCCTGCTTGTGTGTAAGCACAGATGCAACGCCAACTCCATGGGGATAGGTTGGATGTATTTGACCACATGAATGTTTAGTACAAATTTAATGTGGTGAATTCTTTTAAAAGTCTAAATAATAATTTTTATAATAATTAAAAAAAGGTCTAAGGACAAAAAGGAACCCTTCTACACTGTTGATGGAATGTAAATTGGTGCAGCCACTGTGGAGAATCGCATGGAGGTTCCTTAAAAAACTAAAATTAGAATTACCATGTGATCCAGCAATCCAACAATTCCACTCCTGATTTATGTCCGGGAGTGGAATTTTTGTTTTGTCCAGAAAAGACAAAACTCTAATTCGAAAAGATACATGCACCCCAGTGTTCATAGCAGCACTATTTATAATAGCCTAAGAGCCCACCCAGAGATGAATGGATAAAGAAGATGTGTTTTATACAAACACACACAAACAGTGGAATTTTACTCTGCCATAAAAAGAATGGTATAATGCCTTTTGCAGCAGTATAAATGGACCTAGAGATTATTATACTAAGTGATGTCAAAGACACTTATCATATGATTTCACTTGTATGTGGAATCTTAAAAAACAATACAGGTGAACTTATTTACAAGATCAAAATAACTCACAGACAAGAAAGCAAAGTTACAGTTACCAAAAGGGAAGGAGGGGGATAAATTAGGAATTTGGAATTAACAGACATGTAAAATAAAGGGTACTATAGCAGAGGGAACTATATTCAGTATTTTGTAATAACCTATAATGGAAAAGAACTTTAACAAGAGTATATATATATATAACTTAATCACTTTGCTATATACCTGAAACATTGTAAATCACCTATACCTCAATTTAAAAAATTATTTACAAAAAATCAGAGGATAGATTGGGGAAAATATTTTCCATGGACACAGAAAATATAGTTACAACTTTCTCTTTTCTTTTTCTCGGCAAGTGGGTACCTGATTAGCTTTACTTTTTTTTTTTAATATTTACTTTTTCCCTCCAGTTTTATTGAGTTAAAATTGACAAACAGACCTGTATAAGATTAAGGTGTGCAGCATAATGATTTGACTTACAAACATCGTGAAATGAGTCACGATAGTTTTAGTGAACATCTGCCATCTCATAGATACAAAAGAAGAGAAAAAGAAAATTTTTCCTTTGTGATGAGAATTCTTAGGATTTATTCTGTTAACAACTTTCATATATAACATACAGCAGTGTTAATTAAATTTATCACATTGTACATCATATCGCTAGTGCTTATTTATCTTATAATTTATCTTATAACTGAAAGTCTGTACCTTGCACCGCCTTCCTCCAATTCCCGCTCCCCCCACCCCTGCCACCACAATAGGACTTTTATAGCATTCAGGTTTTTGGTTTGGTTTGGTTTGGTTTCGCTGCTTCGGGATCTTAGTTCCCCGACCAGCGATTGAACCCTGGCCCTCCAAAGTGAAAGTCCAGAGTCCTAACCACTGGACTGCCAGAGAACTCCCTATAGCATTCAGTATTAATTCACATACTTAATATCCCTACCACACAAAGAGCACTTTCAAATCAGTTGCTGTTTAGTCGCCAGGTCATGTCCAACTCTTTTGCAACCCCTTAAACTGGAGCCCACCAGGCTTCTCTGTCCATGGGATTTCCCAGGCAAAAATGCTGAAGTGGGTTGGCATTTCCTTCTCCAGGGGATCTTCCCTACCCAGGGATCGAACCCACGTCTCCTGCATTAGCAGGTGGATTCTTTACCACTGAGCCACCAGGGAAGTCCTTCAAATCAATAAGATAGTTCTTTTTTTTTCCCACTGAAATTTAGGTGATTTGCAATAGTATGTGTAACATAGTGATTCAATATTTTTATATAGCTTATACTCCATTGAAAGTTATAAAATATTGGCTATATTCCATGCACTGTACAATATAACCTTGTAGCTTATTTATTTTATATATAGTAGTTTGTACCTCTTATTAAGTGTAATAAGAGCAGGTCTTATTTCTCTTTAAGAACATAAATAAATAGAAAAAATGGACAAAGAATAAGTGATAATTAAAAAATAAATATAGATAGCCAGTAGACATGGTAGAAGATTAAAATGTACTATTGATCATAGGGCTTCCCTTGTGGCTCAGCTGGTAAAGAATCCGCCTGCAAAGCGGGACACCTCGGTTTCATCCCTGGGTTGGGAAGATCCCCCAGAGAAGGGAAAGGCTACCCACTCCGTATTCTGGTCTGGAGAATTCCATGGACTGTATAGTCCATGGGGTTGCAGAGAAGTCGGACACAACTGACCGACTTTCACTTGCACTTCACACTGACCATAGAAATGTAACTGAAGATGAGTCCTCTTCCACCTCTGGATGGAAGTGTTATAGTATAATTATGTCCAGCGCTGATGAGGACGTGGCGAAGTGGGAGAGGCTTCCTTGGTCCTTCTGGTGCAAACACATGTCGACTTGATGTTCCTGGGGTACAGCTTGGCAAAATGGACGCAAGTCTACTGGCCCAGTAATTCTGATGCTTAGAATTTGTTTTCAGGATAATCAGAGAAACACTGAAAGATAGTCTCTACAGCTTCATTAATGTTCAAAATTTGGAAACAACCTAAATATCTAATGAGGTTAAATTCTGATATAATCAGGTAATAGATTGAAGTTTGTGAAAATTACTTAGGATATGTTAAATTGATTCAAAAGTAAGAGCAAAAACACAAGAAATAACTAACCTAACGTCTCCCTAGTTTTATGATACGTACACAGCCAGACCCTTAGAAGCATGTATATGCATCTGAAAGAACCATTTACCAGTGGTGTCACAAGTGCTTTTAAAAAAAAATCCATTTCCATGTTTTCTACCATGAACATGTGTTACTTTTTTAAATGAATACTCCTTGTTTAATTAATTTAATTTATTTATTTGGCCATGCTATGTAGCATGTGGAATCTTGTTCCCCAGCCAGGGATCGAACCCCATGCTCCCTGCATTGGAAGCATGGAGTCTGAGCCACTGGACCACCAGGGACGTCCCTTGTATTACTTTTTTAACTGAGGAAAAAAACAAGCATTCATAAACGTGTATACTCACGTGCTCAATTGAGTCTGACCAGGGGTCTTCCCATCCCAGGGATCCAAAATGCATCGCCTGCATTGGCGAGTGGATTCTTTAACACTGAGTCACCTGGGCAGCCTTAGCTGTAAATGATATCTGCTTTTAAAAAACCTAATAAATATTTTATTTTATTTTTTTTTTGAGCTATAGAACTAGATAATTTTATTTTATTTTTTTTTTTAAATTTTTTTAAATTTTTTATTTTTTTCATTTATTTTTATTAGTTGGAGGCTAATTACTTTACATCATTGCAGTGGTTTTTGTCATACATTGAAATGAATTAGCCATGGATTTACATGTATTCCCCATCCCGGTCCCCCCTCCCACCTCCCTCTCCACCCGATCCTTCTGGGTCTTCCCAGTGCACCAGGCCCGAGCACTTGTCTCATGCACCCAACCTGGGCTGGTGATCTGTTTCACCCTAGATAATATACGTGTTTCAATGCTGTTCTCTTGAAACATCCCACCCTCGCCTTCTCCCAGAGTCCACAAGTCTGTTCTATACATCGGAGTCTCTTTTTCTGTTTTGCATATAGGGTTGTCGTTACCATCTTTCTAAATTCCATATATATGTGTTAGTATACTGTAATGGTCTTTATCTTTCTGGCTTACTTCGCTCTGTATAATGGGCTCCAGTTTCATCCATCTCATTAGAACTGATTCAAATGAATTCTTTTTAATGGCTGAGTAATATTCCATGGTGTATATGTACCACAGCTTCCTCATCCATTGGTCTGCTGATGGGCATCTAGGTTGCTTCCATGTCCTGGCTATTATAAACAGTGCTGCGATGAACATTGGGGTGCACGTGTCTCTTTCAGATCTGGAAAAAACCTAATAAATATTTTAGATTTGGGAAGCCATGTGGTCTCTTGACAAAACTACCCAACTCTTGCCATCGCTACTCAAAAGCTGCCTTGTGGGCTTCCCTAGTAGGGAACCTGCCTGCCAATGCAGGAGATGTAAGAGATCCAGGTTGGATCCCTGAGTTGGGAAGATCCCCTGGAAGAGAAAATGCCAACTCTCTCCAGTATTCTTGCCTGGAGAATCCCATGGATGGAGGAGCCTGGTGGGCTACAGTCCATGGGGTTGCAAAGAGTCAGACACAACTAAAGTGACTTAGCACACACATGCTCTAATAAAACTATTTATGGATGCAGAAATTTGAATGTTATGTAATTTTTACATGTCACAAAAAATATTCTTTGTTTGATTCTTTTCCCCAACCGTTTAAAAATATCAAGCCATTCTTATCTCATGGTTCATAGAGAAATAGGCAGCCAGCTGGAGGGAAATATATGTTTGGTTCATGGAAACATTTCAAATGAGAGGTGGAAAGGAGCTCATTTAAGTTACATTTCTGTGACCACAAAGGCAGCCTGTTTCTTTAATCAAATTCCTTCCCAAGAGATACTCCCAAGAGCCTCTCCAACTCTGGAGCTATTGTATTTTTTCCTTCCTGCTGCAGATTATTTTGAAAACAATCTTCCAGCAGTCCTGACGACACCTGAACCCTGCCACCGCCGGCATGTATCCCGACTGGGAAGCTTCTCCGAGAGCCCCACTGCTTCCCTCTCCTGCTGGCCTCAGCTCTACCCAGCAGCGCCCCTGTTTGTTCACTCGCCCCCGGCCAGAATCCATTCTCACTGCTCTGAACCTGAGTACAAAGCTCCATGGCCCGCCCCCCGCCTGGATCGAGTGGGCTCCAGGGAAGGTCTGGCCCAGGTCCATGCCAGGTGTGTTGCCCAGAGCTGCCCCTCTGGCTGAGAAGGTGAAGCAAAAATGACAACTCGCAACCAACACTAAGAGAAAGAGCTCCCTAAACCAGTCTTTGTTCCTTTTTTTTTTTTTTTGCCAAACCACACGGCATGTGGGATCTCAGTCCCCAGACCAGGAGTTGAACCACAACACCTCCTGCACTGGGAGTGTGGAATCTTAACCACTGGACTGCCCAGTGGTTAAAGGAAGTCCCTGTCCCTTTTTTCTTTTTTTTGCTCCACTTTTTCATGTCTGCTCGGTCCTGGGCTCCACCTGACGTCTGGCTTCATCTCAGAAAACCCTGGGATGTTATCCTCGGGACTAACACTTTGACCGGATTAGCCCTGGTGGCTCGGTGGTAAAGAATCTGCCTGCCAATGCAGGAGACATGGGTTTGATCCCTGATCCAGGAAGATCCCACATGCAGTGGAAAAGCTAAGCCCGTGTGCCACAGATATTGAGCCTGTGCTCTGGAGCCCGGGAGCCAAGCTACTGAGCTCACATGCTACAACTGCTGAAGCCTGCGCGCCATAGAGCCTGTGCGCCACAAGAGCGGCCACTGTGCTGAGAGGCCCTCACTTCCCACCACTGGAGAAGAGCCCGCACTGCCGTGAAGACCCAGCAGAGCCAAAAATAAATAAGTAAAATAACCCAAATAAGCTGCGAGGATTTGTTGTACAGCACAGGGGAAATAGCTGATATAACAACTGTATATGGAGTATAATGTTTAAAAATTGTAAATCAGTATGTTTGTATACATTGAAAGTTAATTTATGTAATAAATCAATATAAATAAATATATATAATATATATAATAATTATCAGCCATGCCTCAATAAAATCTCAATAAATGGTTCAGATTAGAAAATATATACATATGTGTGTATATGAGTGTGTTGTGTGTGTGTGTGTGTGTGATAGAAAGGAAGAGAGTGAGAATGATAATACGTATCAGCAAAATGTAAACAATATCTGAGTAAAGGGTACATGATTATTCCTTGTACTGTTATTGCAACTTTAAAATGATAAAAATAAAAGTCACCAAAAAGTGGAATTTCCCTGATGGTCCAGTGGCTAAGACTCCACACTCCCAGTGCAGGGGGCCCAGGTCTGATCCCTGGTCAGGGAACTAAAGCCTACATGCCACAGCTAAGACCTGGTGCAACCAAATACATAAGTAAAATAAATAATTTTTAAAATTTAGATGTTAAAGAATGGACTCCAGACATAGGTTGGTGACAATAATGTCAAAGGCTCAAAATGGTAGAAGCTGGTTTTGATCAAATTTGATACAGCCAAAAGCTGATCCATGAATTTGAACTTTTGTTACAAAATCCTACAGAAATTGTTAATGGATGAAGTTTCAGTTGGGGAAGATGAAAGAAAATGTTCTGGAGATGGATGGTGGCGATGGTTGCATAGCAAAGTGAATGTACTTAATGCCACTGAGCTGAACACTTAAAAATGGTTGAAATGGTGGTGATTGTTTTGTAATGAATTAGAACATTGAATCAATATGTTGTGCAGCTGGAACAAACATACAGTTGTAGGGCAGTTATACTTCAGTTTTTTAAAATGGCTAAAACTAAATTTTATATATAGTTTACCATATATAATGTGTGTGTATATATATAATAGAATGATAGAAGGGGGAAAATGCAGATATTCTAAATTCTTCCACTTAATTATACCTCTTTCAGTTGGCATAGAAATTAAAAGTAACCAAAACCCAAAATGTTGAGATTTCTCTGTATATACAATGTTATCACATATAGCAACTTTGCTATGTACATTTTATTCATGTTATATATGTTACTCTTATTGTGATAAAAATACAAGTAATAATTTTTTTAAAAAACCTTATGGAAAAGACCTAAGCAGCTGAAGTTTTCAGTAAAATGAAATTTTAAATGGAAAATAAGTTGGAACATGTTGGTGCTAAATAGAAAATGAATCACAGAAATACATTGACTTGATGATGTTTGTCCAGAAGATGTATATTTTTATTTATTTTTAAAATTGTATACATTTTTTGGCTACACCACGCAGTTTATGGGATTTTAGTTTCTCAAACAGATTGAACCTGTGCTCTTGACAGTGAGAGTGTCAAGTTTTAACCACTGAACTGCCAGGGAATTCTCTGTAAGATATATATTTTTAAACAGATGTCATCAATATTGGTAGAACTCTGATTAAAATAGGCAGGATGAAAAAGGCAGGGTCAGCTCAGACAAGATTGCAAAGCAAACCATGTCCCAGTCTGATGATTGAGAGGGCAAGTTGGCTGTAATCAAAAATGTTGAAGGCACATACACACTGCCAGAAATCTCGCTTGCTGTTATTTATGCTCCAGGCATAGTTGGATGTGTGTGTGTCTGTTGGCTGTAGTATCAATACAATTCATAATAGCAGGAAAAAAAAAAAAAATGGAGCCACCCAATGGGAAACTGGTTGATTGGAATTAGGGTAGATCAGTAGACCATCTAATATACACCACACAGATTTTATAAAATGTTAGATAGTTGCAATCTCTGGGTGCAGATAAAGCTGAGATGTGCTGTTACCTGAAAAGACAGGACACCAACAGATACATACACACACACACACACACACCACCTCTAGAAGTATATATGGAAACTGCTGAAAAGTTTCCTTCTGCTAGAGGCCTTGGGGGAGAGGAAGACTTCCTTCCTATTGCATGATTTTTGCTTTTACAGCACTGATGTGTCACTCTTACAACAGAGGAAAAACATGTTCACAAAAGGTTTGGTGAGACTAGATGGCCATAAGGCAATATCTAGCATTGATGATTTACGATCTCAAAACTGTTGGATCATCACAGTGTCCACCAGGGTTGGCAATGAATAGTTGTTTTATAGTTTTAAATAGCTATTTTAAAATCCAGAGAGTTTATGTAGAAAACTTGCCTCTATGATAAATAGATGTTTGGTCTTTGTGCCTGATTCTTGACACACAGCTCCTAAAAAACCTTTGAAATCTCCCTAGTGATAGGAGAGTCTCTTGTTGTAATGAGCAGTTCTTGGCAGGCCCCTAGACACTAGCCAGAAGGACCAAACCTTCATTAGACACTGGGAGGTTTCAGCCCCACCTTCCCAATCTTCAGGAAGTGGAGAGGAGCTGATGACTCAATTAATCACCAAAGGCAAATGATTCAATCAACCAAGTTTGTGAAACCTCCATAAAAACCTCTCAAAGAGGATGTTCCGAGAGTTGGAAGGCTGGGGCCTCTGCCTGAGGCTGCGTACCAGCCACACAGACCTTCTCTGAACCCAATCTGGTTGAGCCTACAGGCAGATGCTTGCTCCCTGGGCAATCATTTCTATTATCCAGGTGTACTGTCCTGGGCTGTTCACCTCCTTGAATCACATTCCTATCCCCTCCCACCTCTTTGAGAGGACACCCAGGTCTCCTGGAGGGAGGGCAGTGGGCATTATTTCTTTCTACACATGGCTTCACCTCTGTTTACCCCTATCTGCATCTCTGGGGCGGGGACTTAGAAGAGCTATCTAACTCCTGAGGAATTCTGGTGGAAAGGGAAGAACAAAGCGACAGGGATCAATTTCTGGATCTCCAAGAAGCTTCAGTGAAAAGACTCGATAAAAGACTTGATAAAAGAGTGCACAGCTCACTCCAGCAAGGGTGGCGGTTAAGCTGTAGACTTCATCTATATGACACCTTTTCCCAGAGGATGCATGCCTTCTAGATGGACGGGCCTCAGCACATATTCCAATCTGGCCAGCACAACGTCTGGGGAAGCTAGCACTTCTGGAATGGGGCGCCCACAAAACCAATAGAGTTTGCAGGCTGAAAGGGCTTAATCCATTCGCGCTCGCAGGGGCAACTCCTTGAAACTATCACGGAGGCTTCAGCACATCCCCAGCTTCTCTTCCCACCACTCTTAGCAAGTAGTTGGGATGTAAGTAAGCCACGGGGAGGGGTTCGCTCGGTGGCGGCTGAGCAGCTGCAGAGCCACGCGGCGAGAGGACTACGACTCCCAGCATGCCCCGCGCCACACAGCTTCCCATTTCCCAGAAGGCAGCGGGAGGCGCGTTCCCGTCATGCCTCGCGGAGGCCGTAAACCGCCGGATTTGAATCGCAGCACCGCTCGGCGGCGGCGGGATGGGTGCCCAGTTGTTGCCCCCGGCCTGGCAGCTCTACCTCAAGGACCACCGCGTCTCCACGTTTAAGAACTGGCCCTTCTTAGAGGGCTGCGCTTGCACCCCGGAGCGGGTAAGCCCTCCCGGAGTCCCCAGGTCCTGCTCGCCCTAAGAGTCGCGCCCCCGTCCTGAGGCGACCGGTCCCGCGGACTCCAGCCTTCCGTGGGCCTCTGGGCCCGGGGCGATGTTTCCGTCGGACTCCAATCCTTCTGAGCGCTTCTAGGCCCTGAGTGACCCCTCCCTCGGGCTCCGGTCTTTCTGTGGACTTCCGGGCCCGGGGCGACCTCTCCCTTGGGCCCCAAGCCTACTGTGGGCTTCCAGGCCCGGGGCAACCTCTCCCGCGGGCTCCGCCCCTCTGTGGGCTCCCTCCTCCGCGCTGGGGCCTGAGCTGAGCTCTCCCTTGCAGATGGCCGCGGCAGGCTTCATCCACTGCCCCACTGAGAACGAGCCCGATTTGGCTCAGTGTTTCTTCTGCTTCAAGGAGTTGGAAGGCTGGGAACCAGATGACGACCCTATGTAAGTCTCGCAGGCCGGCATCACTGGGCTTCCTGGGTGCCCCAGTTCC